AGCAACTTGTCCGGATTGTCGCCGGGACACCTCCTTCCACGGAACAGAGCCACAGCGAACACTAGCCACTAGTCACATGCATACTCCAATCCAATCAAATTCCCGAGCCCCGAACACATGCACGTACCTATCATGGACACGCTGACCAAACACCAGCCATGCAAAAATCAAGCCCTCCGCCATCACAAGAAAATACTTGAACGGAGAATTTTAATGGAATCTCTATATATCCCGTGGTGATCTGGATGCTGCCTCCCGGGGCAGAGCTCGATTGCACGAACGCACGCCTTCGTCTAGCTCTAGACACGTACGGCTCTCCGGTGCCTTGCTGTCCATGCAAGCTTCTTCCAGATCCAGCTCCATGGAGAGGACCAGCCAGTGGTACGTTTCCATGTCTTTGCCAGTGCGAATTGCTTGCCCGTCCATGTCTCTCGTATGCTCATGTCTTGCCTCTTTGAATTGATTGAGCAGGGTGTCGTCGCAGGACGTACCAACGGACCTCGTCGTCCGGGTCGCCGGCGCCGCCTTCCCTCTTCATAAGGTTAGTCGTCTTCCACCTCCCGGTCGATCTCTCCAACTCCTCCTCACGTGTGTACAAGAAAAAAGTGTCGCCGGTGATCATGGTCTGACGTGGGCACAACTAAATGCTTCCGGTGCAGGCGGTGATGGTGCCCAAGTGTGGCTACATCCGCAAGGCCGTCGCCATGGCCACGCGCCCCGACCCCGCGTCGACCGTCGAGATCGAGCTCGACGGCCTGCCGGGCGGCGCCGACGCCTTCGAGAAGGCCGCGCGTTACTGCTACGGCGCCAACTTCGAGATATCCGCTCGCAACGCCGCCGCCCTCCTCTGCGCCGCCGCGTTCCTCGACATGCAGCCGGCCGACGGCGGCCTCGCGCGCCGCGTGGAGGAGTTCCTCGCGCAGGCGGGTCTCCGGACGCTGCCCAACGCGATCGCGGTGCTGCGGTCCTGTGAGGGCCTGCTCCTCACGGCCACCGAGGAGCTCGGCGTCGCCCGGCGAGCGGCCGACGCCGTGGCCCTGCGGGTCTGCAACGAGGTGCTTTTCCCGACGCGGTCGCCGCCGGAGTGGTGGGCGTCGGAGCTCGCAGCTCTCTCGCCAGCGTCGTTCCACAGGGTCTTTACGGCGCTGCGCTGCCGACGCGCCGGTCCTGAGGTGCTCGTCGCCGCGGCCACCGCCTACGCCGAGCTCCTGCTGGCCGACGGCAAAGCTTCCGACCACCGCGCGCTCCTCGAGTCCGTTGTCGCCATGCTCCCTTCAGCGGACGACGCGCCCCTTCCCGCAGCGTTCCTCTGCCGCCTCCTGCACGACGCCGTCACCACCGAGGCCTCGGCCAAGACGTGCCGCGACCTGGAGCTCCGCCTCGCGGCCGTGCTCGACCAGGCTACCGCGGGTGACCTGCTCGCCTTGGCGCTCGATGGCGCTGGTGAGTGCGTCATTAACACCGAATCGCTCCGGCGTGTCATCGCCGCATTTGTGGAGCGCGAGTCCGGTGCCGGGCGGAACAGGAGGGCGTCGCTGTCCGGAGCGGCGGCGCTGGGCGCAGGGGCGCTGCAGAAGGTGGCCAAGATGGTGGACGAAGTGGCGGCGGAGATCGCGACGGACGAGTCCCTACCGATCTCCAAGTTCGTGGGCGTCGCCGGCGCTGTGCCCAAGGACGCCCGCGCCACCCACGACTGCCTCTACCGCGCCGTGGACATCTACCTCAAGGCGCATCCGGAGCTGGACGAGATCGAGCGGGAGAAGGTGTGCAGCGTCATGGACACCCTGAAGCTCTCCTACACGGCGCGCCTCCACGCCTCCCAGAACAAGCGCCTGCCGCTCCAGGCCGTGCTCAGCGCACTCTACTACGACCAGCTCAAGCTCCGCAGCGCCGGCGTCGGCCACGACGATGAGGATAACGATGCGCGGTCGGAGGCCGGGTCGGCGCGCATGCAGGCAAAGGCGGACGCGGCGCTGGCGCGGGAGAACGAGGCACTGCGGTCGGAGCTGGCCCGGATGCGGGCGCACATGTCGTCCGGCGTGCAGCAGAGCAAGGGGAGCGGCTCGAGGACGGCGGCGACGGCGACGGTGGCAGGGAAGAAAGCGAGCTTCTTCGGGTCGATGTCGCGCACACTGAGCCGACTGAACCCGTTCAGGGCCGGCGGCGGGTGGTCCAAGGACACGTCGAGCATCCGAGACAGTAGGGGCGGCGCCATGAATGTGGTGAAGCCCAGGAGGAGGAGGTCCTCCATAAGCTAAGACTCCATAGAAATCATCCATGATGCGATAGGTGCATGTAATTCGGTCTCATTTCATTCGTATGATCACTGGTGTGTACTGTGCGTGTAGAGGAAGATCATGATCGTGGTTGCTAGTTCTCATGATTCTTCCCTCTTTCAGTTAATTTGTGTCATCTATTGTACTGTGTATGTTGGGCATTGTATATTAGAAAGAGGAAGTCTTCAATTCAACTATACTTCCTCCGTGGATTTCACATTGAACTTTCAAAAAAGGTAAAATGGTTCAGATCTTGTAACTGAAAAGGGTAGATTCAGTTCGGTTGTGTTTCCTCCGGAAAGAAATATAAGAGCGTGTGGAGAGTGTACGTGATAATTTTTTTAATGATTTGGCTTGAATAAAAGCTGCTTCTTCACCCCCTAGCTAAGAGTCATTGATGGCCATTCATTGTGGTTTAAAGAGATCGATATATAGTACTCCCTCATGTCCTTTTTAGTCTGCATATAAGTTTTGGAATGTTTGACTTGGCACAAATCTTATACACGAAGTAAAAAGAACTGGAGAGAGTATGAAGTGAAGATAAATGTTGATCAACATGAAACTCAAGAATTATACACTAGATGGTCAACATACAAGCATATATGTTGTATCGCATAGAAATTAATTGTGAATCATGCAATATGAACTAGTCCATATACAATGTGTTTGGTATATGTATATGTGGACATATACTATGTGTTTCGTAAATTATATGTATATGTATATGTGGACATATACTATGTGTTTGGTATATGTATATGTATATGTAGGTTAGGTGATGGGCCGGCCGAGTAACGGGTTTTCTCGGTTGTGCATTCGTTCTTCTGTTGATCGCTGATGTGTTTGTTCGTTCTTTCATTTCTTTTGTTTTTTTCCTCTTCGGTTTTATATTTTTTTCACCTGCTTCTTATGTTTTTTCTCTACATGTACTTTGGTTTTCTTTGTTTTTCTCCATATATTTTCATTGGTTTTTCCTTTTTCTTCATTATATTTGGTTTCTTTTTTCACTTCTCGGATTTTATGCTTTTCTTTTTCTCTTTTCTTTCTTTTTTTTCTTTTTTCCAACAAATGTATATGTTTTTCTTACACACTGTACATTTTTCATGTAAGTCAAGAATTTTTTTTAATGCAGGTTTAACATTTTCCAAATACATTATTAGCATTTTTTTCTTTCAAATATATATTGTTTTGTTGAAACATATGTTTTGATGTCTATTGTTTTCACACACATTATATATTTTTGTATACATCTGAAACATTTTTTACACACATTTAACATTTTGCAGGTACATTGTTAACATTTTTTCAAATATATATTTTGATATCTATAGTTTTCCTACATATTTTACCTTTTTGTATATATCTGGAACAAATTACACACGTTTAACATTTTCAAATACAGTATATTAACATTTTTTTTCAATATATGTTTTGATGTCTATTGTTTTCATACACATTGTACATTTTGGTATACATTAAAGCATTTTTGTACAAGTTTTACATTTTTCATATCATGATTAAGATTTTTCTTTTTAAATATGTTTTGATGTCTAGTTTCTTTGTACGCATCGTACATTTTTTCTTATACATCCAATACAACTTTTATGCATGTTTAACATTTTTTGTTGAATTACACAAACATTCTTTTACATTGTATAAACATTTTAAAAAAATCAATGTACGTATTTTTTAAAATATATGAATATATTTTTAATGTGACAAGGCATTTTTTAAAGCTATCAACATTTTTTAAGTTACACTAACAAAGAAAGTACGCTGTTAAATTCTCGATCTTTTAAGTAACGATATTATTTTTAATTTCAAAAATATAAATAAAATTATTAAAAAAGAAAAAACAACAACAACGAACCATCGTAGTGAACGAACTAATGAGGCGAAGAACTAACTGGGCCGGCCCACTTCTAGGTCTTTTAAGGCGATCACGAGCTATAGATGCACCCGTTCATAGCTGCTATTCTGAATTACTCTTTGTAATAATAAGGCAGCAATCTATAACCCCTTAATTACGTACACTATTAGATATGCAACATGAAAATATGTCGACATACCTTGTTAAGGGAAATAAAACCTAGGTACTAGTGAATCTGAAAAAAAACTAGGTACTAGTGCATGAAGTTCATCTCAGTATGATACATAACTGAAATTAAGCTGTTTATCAAGCACATAACATAAATAACCTTGAACTTTTTAGGCACAACAAATAGGAATCCCAAAAATATTTCAACTACTTAACAGGCTTCAGTGCATGATACATCAAAAGATGCGTTCACCAAATTGTTGTATCTGTGAGATTGTATAAGTTTTCTGATATAGGAACCCGAAAAGGTAAAAGTTTAACAGACGATGCATATGTCCCGCGATAACCATGCGCCAGATGATGTTTGCTCATTTTCTGCCCCAGTTTTCAGTTTTGAAGCTAACATAATTAACACAACAATAGCAGCAAAGTAGTAGCTACTTACGCTGTTATCTGATATTCATTCATTACAATAGATGAGGCCAGAACAATTCAACACCCTGACGTTCAGCAATTTGGGCATCCAGTAGTTTGTCAAAAGGTGCACATATTGCAATAAACTAGACTTACCACCCACCAGTTCAGGTCAGCACAAGCTGCTCTAGGAAACTAACTAGCAATCTTTTCATACGATTTAAGAACTACATAATGTTGTCAATAGAATTGGCTTAGAATGAGCTGCTCACCTATGCTTTGTGCAACCTACTTGCCTTCTCGAACACGTCTATTAAGACAGAAGGGAAAGTTCTTTTGAGATTACTGTAACCTTGGGTTGCCATCAAGGCATCCATCTCATCCTTAGAGGCAATAAATTCAATGCACACTTCCTTAAGCCTGTCACAGTTATGGTGATCAGCTAAAGCCAATGTAGTTGCCAGAGTCTCCATGGCAAGGTTTTTACCGAGGATGTTTTGGCATATCAACTTCAGCCTGTCCATGGCATATCTATCTGCAGCCACAAGTAAATGCCGGATCATCTCAACGTAATCATCACCACCAAAATCACCCACGTCAGGCAATGAATCGGTATATACGAAATGCAGCAAGGCCTTGAAAGCAGCAGGCTGCATGTCTTCAACTGTAATGGACTCTGCCTTTGTTTCCTTCATCCCTCCATACAGCTCTGCCTCAAAGACATGTGATCGTGCCACAAGTATGATCTTGTGTGCGGCAAAAGTCTTTCCCCCAACACTGAATGTCACGTCGGACCCCTTCCCCTCTAACAACAGCTTGCCAAAATGATCCGATAAGTTGGACGATGACACCTTGATTTCAGAGCTCCCTGTTGTTTTTGTCACCTGTGATTGTTTGATGACTGTGAGTACACATTCAATTGTCAGGCTATCATCCTTAATGTAGCCTGATGCTTCCAGCTCCAGCTCACTCCTTTGAATGAACCCTCCACATTCTGGGAAAACACGATTACCGTAGTCGAACTCTGTCGGGGTTGCTTGAGACAGAAACCAAATACTCTTTGGCAACCCAGTATCCTTGTTAACCAGTCTCAGATCACAGGATGCCCGCGCCAACCCCCTGCCCGTGGGCTCACGCGAGACCGACACGCAAACGCAATCGGCGTATGACATGTTGGCTCCGTCAGGGTAGAAACGGATGGTCCAGTCGTAGCCGCCGACGGTGAAGATGGCCGACTGGACGAACTTGTCGATTCCCAGGCCCTTCTTGAGGCTGTACCCGATGATCTCCAAGACATGCGTTCCCTTCGCCGTCTCCGTGGTACACCTTGACGAGGAATTGGATTCGAGTGCCATCAGCCCTGCAACCAAGAGCATGGAGCCCGTAATGCGGATCTGAGAATACGAGAGGAACGCACACAGCTTTGTCGAGGACAAGAGGAGTTGGGGAAGAAACGAGAGGGTGAGTGGAGTACCTTGGAAAGTCGGCAGACGAGGAGGAGGTGAGGGGCGGCGGCCAAACAGGGAGGGGAGGTCTGAGCAGCTGATGGAGACGGGAGAGGTGAGATCTGAGCAACTTTTTTTTTTTTTCTTTTGAGGTAATGAGATCTGAGCAACTGATGCGAAGGCAATGGGACCTGGCCAGATGGGCTACAAGGGCCGTGCGTGGCCCGCCAAAGCATGTTTTGACTCAAAAAATGAAGTAAAATTCAGAAAAAATACAGGAAAATAAAAACGAGGGGAAGTGTCACGTGGGAGAAATCTTGAGCTTTATAAGTGGTTGCCTCATTAAAACCTTCCACCCCTCAGAAGAAAAAAGAGTATAAAACCATGCTCTAGATTATATAGAAGGGAAAGAAAATGAAAAAACATACAATGACCACAAGTATTCTTCCTCTTCTTTGATTGGAAGATCTGTGAATGTGGCTTCCGGTTCTTTGTTGTCTGCGGTGTATTGTGCTTTCCTGCTCGCTAGTTTCTCATATTTCATGGCCATTACCTTATCCGGGGTGAGACTGATTCTTCTCTCCTCAAGTACTCTTCCAGCTATGTTGAAAGCAGACTCTGACGATGTCGATGAGATGCGTATTGATAACAAATCTCGTGCTAATATGGAAATCACCAGATATGTAAGCTTGTGTTCATGCCACCATTGATGTATGTTGAAGTCCTCGTCATCTTCACTGAAGTTGACTTTGTCGCTGTTAAGGTACATCGCTAACTACCCACCACATGCAAGCACACACACTAAAGTCTTTGATGCTCCTGTCGAAGAGCTCAAGGCAAAGGAGGAAGAACCAAATATCTTGTTCCGCGCTCCTTTTTTTTCATGCAGATAGTGTTGGTGGAGGCCGTTGCACCCGAACGCCAAAAAACTTTTGTTCGTACTTATCGTAAACTTCAGAAACTTATCACGAACATCAGTGAAATAACAAGAATAATCTAAATGTAGGGACCCATCTAATAAAAATGATCAAGCTTAGCCCTAGATCCAAGATAAATGCAAATACATGAAACATAGGAATTTCTTTCTAATATTTAAATATTTAAGTTTCATGCAAGCAACAACTTATAATTCAACGCCTTTTGTATGCGTTCACATGAGTTGCAATGTCTACAATACTATGCACCATTAAAGGAGATGTGGAATGATGACCACTGAAGTAAATTATTGCATCATAAAACATCTCCAAAAAACTTAGTCAATATTGAAGCAACATGCAGATCACATGAGTGATTAGCTATGATACTTGCATTCACGAAATCCCGAGAATGTATCTTTGTCTCGGAGAAGTGACTTGAGCATCATATATGTAGAGTTTCATGTAACAAACAAGTCAAAATTATACTTATGAGGAATTTCTCCTACAACAATGCAATATCTCTTGGAGCTTGCAATTCGTTGTTTAGAGTTACTAAGATAAGAAACTGCAGTTTGCAATTTTTCAAAATGTGGTTTGCATTTTAAGGCACATTTAGTAATAAGATAATTATATGGCAAGCATAATGTTGATGCAGTAAAAAAGATGCAGCATATACGAAAAACAGAGGAGTGAGGTCCTCCATTGCAATTGTATTTGTTGAAGCATTATCCAAAGTTACTGCAAAAAACTTGTTGGTCGGACCAAAATCTGCACAACTCTACTTAAAGCTTGAGCAATGTTCACACCAGCATGTGCTTCGCCAATTAATTCGAATCTTATGATTCTTTTTTGTAGTTCCTACTTATCGCTAACATAATGAGCGACCACACTATTGTAGTCTTGCTTTGCCCGACCACTCCTGATATAAGGTCTTGAAGAGACCCAAAAAGTGCATGTGGTAAATTCTTCTTTTCTTTTTGTAAGTCCGGTTTTGCATAACCTTTTCATATCCATAATTGTAGCTTGTCTAGAAACTAGTTTGAAATTAGGAGTATGAGTAGTCTGAATGTATTCAGTAAAATCATCAGACTCACCAAAACCTAGAGGTAAATCACTATAAGCAATTAAAGGACAAAGATCTTCCCTCTAAACATTGGCATCATAGGTGAAATTATATATCGAACCATTAGGGTTTTATCTCGCCACGGCCTCTCCATCCTTCTTCATGTGGGCTTTCTTGTGCCAGATCAGCTGGTCGGGTTCCTCCTTGACCCCATATGCAATACATTTCCCCGCATCTTCTGCACTTGACCTTAATCACACAAACACCACCCACCTCAACTATTACTTCATCGAAGTAATCCCACACTTTTGAGGTTTTGCGACAAGACTTTTTTGCATCGATGGTAGTGGAGGAAGTGTTGGCACTAGTGGAATTGGTGAAGGATTGTGAAGGTGGTGTATTGTCGTCGAAAGTAGGATAGGTAGTGGTATTGTCATCACAAGGAGGATATGTGGTGGTACTGTGGACAGTGGGATCAACATACCCGGGTATGTGAAAATTGAAATCGCTTGCATTGAAGCTTTTTTTGAGAATCATCGCCGAACTTTATTAATCACCGTACACCTGGGATTTCATCGGATATTACATGCAGAATACAGTTAGGCGGATCGCTAGGCCAAAAACTACAAAATTCCTTACTAACTCCTTCTCTAGCTAACAAGTGAGCTCCTTGCTTCCCTGATCTTCTAACCTAGGAAGCTTTAAAACCTTCAAGAGTCCTTCCTAGCAGCTTGATTTCTTCAACGATCGGTCCAGCCACACTTAAGTTTTTTTCCTGGTCATTCAACATGGCCGCCACTCCCTTGTTGTCGACTTCAACGTGCACCCTGGTAGCTCCAGCATGGATTGCCAGCTGCAATGCCTTGCGGCAAGCAAGTATCTCAGCCACCTCGGGATCAGACACATCCCGACATACATAGCAGGTGCCCCATCTAAACGCTCCGACATGGTCTCAAAGAATCACTCCTCCACCTGCACGATCCACAACTTAGATAGAGCTTCGTCTGTGTTTGCCTTAGCCACCCTTGCTCCGGCGGACTCCATCTCACAGCTGGTACTGAAGAGGAGCACCTCGGTTGCTTTGCATGAATGGTGGTCCATTCTATGATATGATGATGAACATTCTCTGCAACCATCCTGGGATCCACAATCTTTTTTCCATCCCTTGCTTCATTCCTTGCGAGCCAGAGACTGTACGCAACCTGAACCATTAACTCCCGCTCCTGGTTGCCGGCATCAGCAAACCATCCTAGCAGCCATGAGGCAAGCTCTCCATGGGGTCCATCAGACACTGGCAGGATCGCCACCGGAACCCCTTTCTCCGAGCTTAACACCTTCCAAAACATGGCTAAACGCGGAGGCGCCCAGAAGCGAGGCAGGACTCTTTCTTATCTACCGCAAAACAAGCAAAAGACCCCTGGTTTGATTTTCCTCCTGTGTAACTCGGCACCAACGACCAATCCATTTTTATAAGGTGCCACATGTGAATCTTTGCCTTCCGAGGAGCATTGGTGTTCCAAAGCGCAAACCATCTTTTGTGTCTATACACCGATGTCGAGGACTCCGACCGTCCGGTTTTGGTCCTTTTTAGCGACATACATAGGTGATATGCTGATCGGATGCTGAACCGCCCCGACTTAGTGAAGTTCCACGCCAAATAGTCGCTGCTACCCAGGCCTCCAATAGCGATCTGCTTGATATCATATACGTCAGCAGATGAGAACATAGCATCCACCTTGGCATGATCCCAAGCAGAACCATCGGGACTAAGTAGGCTGCTGACATGTGTGATTCCATGGACAAAATGTTGCCCAAGAGGTTTCAAACTCCCTGCCCTCGGAATCCAATTTTCGTGGTGTATGTCAATGTTTGAACCATCATCTACACACCAAACAACTCCCTCTCTTAGTAGTTCCCTCCCATGTATAATGCTCCTGAACTTGTATGGCGCACCATTGGGACACGTGGCATTCATGATTGTGCACTCCTTGAAGTACCTAGCCTTGAGCACACGGGCACACAAAAAAGGAGGATGGATATTGGAGGAGTCGCCACGCTTGCTTTGCCAGCAGAGCTGGATTAAAAGCTTCAAAACTTATGAACCCCATCCCTCCATCTCTCTTTGGCAAGCACATTTTATCCCTGGCTATCCAGTGCACCTTCCTTTCACCATCAGCCGCTCCCCACCAGAATTTTGAAGAGATTGAAGTCAATTTCCCGCACATCTTCTTCGTGAGTTGAAAACAGCTCATTGTGAAAGTTGGTGTTGATTGTAACCCTGATTTTATAAGTACTTCCCTTGCCTTCTTAGACAAACCTTGCCCCTTCCATCCCGACACTTTACCCTTTGAGCTTTCTCTGACATATTGGAAGGAACCATCTTTTGATCTTCCTACCACAGTTGGAAGCCCCAGATATCTCTCACTTAGTGCTTCAGAGTCAATGCCAATGGTTTGTTTCAGAGCGCCCTTATCCTCCTCATTACATCCTTTCCCAAAAAACATAGATGATTTTGTAGATTTACCTTCTGTCCGGATGCCACTTGATATGCTTGCAAAATATTCTTTAGTGCATGGAGATTACCTTGTGTTCCTTCCAAGAAGACCACACTGTCATCAGCAAATAAAAGATGAGTAATATGGGGGCTAGTGCTCCCAAAGCTTACCCCATTTATCAGATTATCTCTTTGAGCCTGCGGAAGCAACGCTGAAAAACCTTCTGAAGGAAATATGCCCTAGAGGCAATAATAAGGTTATTATTTATTTCCTTATATCATGATGAATGTTTATTATTCATGCTAGAATTGTATTAACTGGAAACATGATACATGTGTGAATACATAGACAAACTAAGTGCCACTAGTATGCCTCTACTTGACTAGCTCGTTTATCAAAGATGGTTATGTTTCCTAGCCATGGACAAAAAGTTGTCATTTGATTAACGGGATCACA